ACTTTTACATAATTTACGATTGTACGAGTTCAGCGGCGCATGTTTGTAAAGTAATATTAATATCATTTTCCCCCATGCTGAACCACAATTGATACATCCGGGAATTCTGGCTTACGCAATACTCATACACTTCAAGTCAACATAAACATTTTTCGGCGAAAATGGTAGGAGACAGGAGCAATTCAAAATTTCCATTATGTCATTGCTGATGACAGTTTTGTCTACATAAAGAAAAATATTACAGATCATGTAACTATTATTGTGCATACAGCTAAGTGCATCCATCATTCAAGACTGACTATTTTCAGGGTGATTGTGAATACTGACCTTGCTTGATATTCTTTATGTGAACTGCATCTCTTGGTAAGTCAAATCGCAGGATTGTTCAGATGTCACTGAAAAATACATTTTGAAATTCAAAGGCTTGCACTATTTTCTGTATCAATATGAGTGTTCCTGCCTTAGTAACTGTTTATAATGATAATCATAGTGTCATAGTAAGCAAATTACATAATGGGGCTTACAACAATTACAACATGTACTCATGGGAGAACCTGCACTGTGAACGCAAGATATGAAAAATGCTGTGTAACTTTAACATGTGAAAGGACTTATACCACACCTGTATGAGATGGTGCATGTCTCTTATGCTTTGGTGTTGGAAACTGATGGAAATTCTCCATTCCCTGTGTGATGTTTGCTGTAGAAGTGCAGAAAAAAGTACTCTATTACTGTATACCCTACACTCCATATCCAATTTCTGTTTGTTTGGGTTAGTTGCATTTTTTGTCATAGGACAAGTAAAGAATTACTTTCATGGAGTATCATGGTGGATTAATTCGAGTACTCATTCACATCCTATTCATTCCCAACTGAGTGAATACTATATGTAATCCACAGTGCACCTTGTGTATAAAGGTTGATAAAACAAGACCGGCACAAGTAGCACACAAAACCACACTGGTGAAAGTTCAGGCAGGGAATTCTTTGCGCTCCACAAATTGTCATTATGTAAATAAAAGATGCTTGAATCAAGACAGAAAGTCTTAGGATAATCCACTGCTTTTGTGAATGAGCTATATGTGCTCGTTCCTCTTCATCTGCTGTAACTGGAGCGGAGGAATATAGCAGATATAGGGTTCACGAATCAATCCAGGCAAGATGATCAATATTAACAGAAAAGACAAAAGGGTGTACCAGGGTCACTGGTTTTGTTGGCATCCAGCCAGTCCACAGCATCCTCCACCGACCCATCGCAACTTTCCTCAGCAATTGTCGCATCTTCTAATGAAAATCCCATGTCCAGTAATATGTCAATGACATCTGCTCTGGTATTCCCTAGAAAAGAGTTTGTCAGTATTATGTAATTTTGTAGCTTAAATGCATTTACTATTATCAGCCTCCCAATTCATATCCATTTTTAGTCTGTAAACTAACATTCTTAATAATGACATTTAAAAAAAAGAGAAGTGAAGGTTGTCTTTAAATAAACATAGGACAACATCAAATGTTATGAAATGTTTCAGTTGCACTAACAGTCATATTCAAATGATATGTCTACTACATAAAATTAGTTTTCATACTTTTACTTCATGACTGACATACAATCATCATTCACATTCTGGACCATCCTACCTGTTTCACTTGACAGGTCTGGCAGGGTGTCCAAGTCTGAGTCTGCGTCTAAGTCTGAGTCTGCAATGTAAGATATTGATGTTAAATGTCATGAGAGATGTTCCCATCATGGATTTGATAACTGGCATGTATTTTTGTGTTATGTATAATTATTCATTATGCTACTTGACGTGTTATGTATAATTATTCATTATGCTACTTGACCTCTCAAGTACTTAGAGCACTGCTAGGTCCCCTCAGCCAATAGGGAGCCTGGATTTTTAGTGATTATATCCACATAGTAGCATACTTGTGAGTTAGTGCACCTCTCTCCCTTGGGGTAGAGGTGCACAAACTAACCAGCCACCCTCCTCTCAGCCAACCAGTGAGCTGGAATTGGTCCCTCTCTAGGGACAGAGGTGCTCTAACTAACCGAATAAATTACTCTATGTTGGACCCGCCCATTGTTATTTCCATAGAAACAACAACTGGCCAATGGCAGTGTCCAGCTTTCTGCCCTGGGGAATCAGAGGAGACTGACCGGCTCATCACCACACATGGTTCTCTGAGTTGTTTGGCTGTCCATCTGGCTGATTGGTCGTCAATCAGCCAGATGGACAACCAAACAACTCCTTGAAACAAGACAAAAAGGGACACTAAACAAAGATTTATAAAGCAAAATCAAGTTCTAGTGGATTGAGTTGATCAACTTCGGGGACCTAGAAGTGCTCTAGGTTAGATAGAGCACGGTTTGAGGCTGAATACTCGGATTTAGAACTGCCCTTCTAAATCCAGTTCTAAAGGGCAGTTCTAAATCCTCATAGTCAGCCTCAAACCGTGCTCTATCTATTACATGTATGCTATGTCTTTGCATTTTAAGAACAATTGTGTAGTTCCAAAACACTTTCAACAGTTCTGATTCAATAGTTATATTAAGATCATAGAACACTTCTAGAAGAAGAAGTAAAGTTCCACTCATCATTGATTTAAAAGAAATAATAATCTTATAATTGATTAAAATGTACATGCAAAATACAATTGTCAGCATTTCGTGTCATGTTTAATATAAGAAAAGTTATTAATACCTGATTCTGTGCGGCCTGTCCAAGTACAGAAATCGCAAATGACTCCTGTCATTTTATTCAGGCACTCAGCATGAAATGTGCTTGGAGGCTGGCAGTGGCATTTGATCTAATCAAATAACAGCAAGATGTAGATACAATTATTGTATTAGATGTACGATATTGTGCACAAGTACCTGCCATTACCTGGCACTTTCTTTTGACAATGTAATGGAACGAACTTGACAATTTAATTAAAAGGAAATTAAATCTACAAGGGAAATAAATTTAATGCAAAAAAGCCTACTGCAAACATACATGCCTTAATTACTGCGAGTAAGTTGTCACTTATCTTTTACCTTTTCATCGTTACATTGTTGCCTACACACTGGGCAGTGAAGACTGAGATCATCTGGAAAGAAGGATAAAAAGTTAGTTGTCAACACTAGTAGAAGTTGCATTTATAATCTCTTTAACATAATCATAAACTAGAGTTCCAAGACCACATAACTTCACCAAATGATGTTAACCTTTACGAATAAAGATTATAAATGTGCATGACTTATATCAGTTTATCATATTCTCCACCCAACGACACTCTTATTTTAAC